CCTTCAAAGCTTTTTTTAATATGGTCTTCTTTTCTTGCTTCTTTAGGGTGGGGGACATCCAGACCTAGATAAATTTTCGGTTTTTTTGGTCCTTTTGTACTTATTCAAGAACCTTCTAACTGTTGTGGGGTCACAGCCAATTCGTTTGGCAACCTTCTTAGCACTCATTAATTTAATAAGAGCAAGGATCATTTCTTTCTCTTTTTCTGTCATTTGGGTTCGTGGCATTATTAAAAAAATATTGGTTTTTTTTTTTAAAAGCTAGGTATTTAGATGTCAAAGAAGCAAGAAAAAAAAAAAATTTGCCCCAAATTACGTAAGTATAGGGTAAACACAACCGTTTTATTTGCTCATGTGAGATAATCTGCAAATCGGGCATTACTTTTGATGGCTACTATACCTAAGTGCTGCTTAAAGTTTGGGCATTATTAAAAGTCAAAAATGCTACCGTATTATAATTCCGTTGCTATTCATAATTTTAAAAATGTAATGTAATTGGATATCAATGAAACTATTAATAAGAAGAGGTATACTGATTTAACTATAATATTTACGAGAGTAAGACTTGGTGACAGCTTTTAAACTGAGTTTCGATATTAGCACAACAAAACAATAAGATGATTGATAAGAATAATAAGATAATAATTGTCACAGATTATCGTGAAATTTGGATCTATTTTATATACGATTTTTAAAATTTTTTGGGGCCTTTTTTGTCAGGTTTTTTTTTATAGTTAGTTAGGATTTAGGTTAAAATTATTAATAAAAGAGTATAGATGGATTTTGGTAGGGCTTATATTTTCAAATTGAGACCCCCAAATTTCACGATGATCCGATTTCACGATAATTCGTAACGATTTGACATCAAATACTAAATTAAATCTGTTTTGTACATTTTTTTTATTGTTTTTTTAAAAAAATTAACTAATAAAATATCGCTTTGAATGATTTTATACTTCTATAAATCTTTATATTAAAAATAAAAAAATTAATTTGTATTGCTAAAGTAAGCGATTATATTTGAAATTGCTTAATAAAAAAATTATTATTTTATTATATTTTTTTAAGTATTTTATTCGACTAGAATGATATAAATTTAAAGTGCATAACATGTTTTAAATACCGATTATAACTACCGATGTAACTGATCTTGGTGGTTATACTAGGATCGTTTTTGTCTTTTGGCAGCACTCATTTTCACGTTTAATCATTATCAGAGTCACGAGTATCATTAGAAAGATATGTACATTATTACGTAATCGATCATTACCGAAATCAAAAACTTATCGAATCAACATTCGGCAATTTTTTACCAGGCCAATTTAATGATTTTACTATCATTGGAATCTTAAGAATGTCCTCGACAATTTTGTTAGAAACCAAAGGCCAGTTTACTTAGTAAAACATTGAGATCAGGTTGTATAAATAATGATCTCAACCCTTGTAGATATCAATCTCATAGATATCAATCTCATAGATATCAATCTCGTAGATATCAATCTCGTAGATATTAATATAATAATCCAACCCAAATGGGTTGATATTAACGTAGGATCAACTGTATAAACTGTTAATTTTAAATATATAACATTTCCATAAATTTTAAAAAGATTACTAGCTAGTTAATCAGTCAGTTAGTCTGTCAGTTGGTCAGTCGGTTGGTCAGTCATTAACCGTCAGTTATAACCATGGTCGGTCATTGAGCAATAACCAGTAGTTATTGACCGTGACCGACCATAACTGACCGTTGCCATCTCTAGTCATAATCACGACAAAAAAAATCCTGACAGTTAAAATCTCTAATACTACTGTACTATTTCGCATCATGTTGCCACATATTTATACAACCAAAATTTGTGATAAGCAAGAGTGGGGGACTTCTAAAGCTGTGTTCACTTATATGTTTTTGACTATTTGGTTAAAGTTAGGGTAAGGATTAGTTTTGGGTTAGGTTTATAGTATGTTTTATGGTAAAATTTCCCTTTAACATTTTTATTAATCCTAAAGATAGGTTTAAACACTTATTTCTTGTATTTTTTTTTCTTTTGGTATCAATCAAAATAAACAACTTCTTGGATCTATATTATATGATTGGACACGGCCCCAATATTTGGATGTTTTTACCTAAAAATTCTGACTATTAGGATTTTGACTGTCAGGATTTTTGATTGTAAGGATTTTATTGTCGGGTTATGACCTTTCAAGGATTCTGTATGTCAGATTTTGATACAGACCCACCTTGTCCCACTCAGGGAGTGAACGTCTCTGTTTTTGTAATTTGTTTAAAACCTTTTATGCCTATTTAAAGAGCTATCTATAGAGTTTCTATTCCTTTTTGTCAATATATTTGTAAAGCACTTCTGCAAACGTTTAGTTCCTCATCTACTATAGTGTACCAACTTTCTTTCACTTGGCCTGAATTTATTGGATGCTATTTTAATCTGTTATTTGGTTTCAGAAATTTTGAATTCACGTTGCCTTTATTGTGAGTCAATTCGGCTTTATAGTATCGTTAAATTTATTATTGTATCATAGGCAAAAATTCATCTGATTAGTTGATATAGATCAATTGCTGGGTAGCTCAATGAAGTAATAACATTTACTGTGCTGAAAAATCAAGAAAAGATCAAACTCCTGGAGAACTTCACTTAGAAGACAAAATTATTCGTTTTCTATTAGAACATACAAAATATGTAGCTATATACAGTATATACCGTAAAAAATCAGCGATTAAAGTAAGGCAGCCGCGAATGTTTTTGTTGAAGGTATTTCTACTAGATAGTACTCAAATGAACACGGTTTAATTTAAACAAAATATTAAATGAGGTAATTTGTTTTTGCAGTAAATTTCTTTTTTGCATATTATTAATATATAAAAAGCTTTTTTTTAGAATTTGATATGATACGATACGATATTAATTTCTAATTATATAATCATTTTTGTTGGAGTTTAAATATTCGAATTAGGTTCATATTAAACGTTTTATGTATATACAAATCAAAAGGCTTAGATTTAATGCATGAATTTGTGGGCCCTTAGTGTGTCTGGGTTTATTAATCCTAGATGTCGGTATATATTAGGTTGTACTTGTGTTCTGGTTTATTATATGTTACCTACTTTTTATACTCTATATACATTAATTATTTTATAAACGTATATTATAAAATTTTTTTGCTTGTATTAACCAATTTATACAAGTTTTCTTTGTTAATAAAAAAAAATAGCGAAAGTAAATCGGTCTATATGATTAGAATCGATCAATCAAAATTTTGCAAATTAATTATGAGTTACATAAAATTAGCCAATCAAACCTATGAATTATTGAGTCTTCTTTAATTTTTTTTTATTGTCCGGAGATACAAAAGTTCTGTTTTTGATACATCATAAGTTACGCACTTGATTAATTTATTAGATATATTGTCGCAGATTATCATGAAATCAGATTATCATAAAATCTACGTGATCTTCATATCATCGGATTTCCTAAAATTTCCAGACTTTCTAAATGTATCAAAAAGGTGATCCTAACCCTAACTATAACCATAAGGCAAAAAGAGTCTATAAAACCACTAACAAAAAAATTTTTGCTTTGTGTTTAGGGTTAGGGTTAGGGTCATCTTTTTGATACAGTTAGGTCTTTTATATATAAATATCAAGAATGCGATTTATACGATTTTCGGAAATTTTAGGAAATCCGATGAAACAGAGATTACATGGATTTAACGATAATCCGATTTCATGATAAATCCGTAATTTTATCTGTTTATATTTGTATTTTAGTGTAACAAAGGCATGCATATCACGCGTTTGTGCAATATGATAATTATCATATGCTCCGGACACAAAAACTAATTCTGTTCGTCTTCTTTTCTTTGGTACAAGGGCTTTTGCTATTGCAGGTGAACTTGTATAATTTTAACATTTGTAAGTACCCGGTTACCAGAAGCGAGTGAAGGTCCTTCAAGTTGTATATGATAACAATAATATCGGGTATCAATCAATATGATTGCTGATGATCAGCCAATAAAAACAATTCTTTCTCATATCTGTTTTTGTTACACAATCTTGTGATGCTAAGATATTAAAATAATCTTCTTTTGCTTTGAACAAACTATTCTCAGACCATTTTTTTTACTTGCTTGCTTTAAAAACACCCTTTTCCAAATATGATAACAGAATTAGTCAACATTTATGCGAAAAATATTTCTTTTGAGTTATGTTCGCTGGATGGTTTTTCTTCTTGTGCTATGCTTCACGATAATGAACTTGCCTTTAAGGAGGTTCATGACATATTTTATGTTAAGCTAGACATGTTGGAAAACCATCCAGTAATGCCAGAAGTCCGAAAAAAAATTAAAAAGCTTTAGAGCAAAAAGAAGGTCAGTTGAAATTTAAAAAAAATATCTTAGAGATCGAATCAATTTTTTAATGACAGACTTAAAAATTTGGCATATAGTCAGAATAATATTATGTTGAAAATATGGTTAGCTGGTAGTTTGGATGATTCATTCTGATGAATAGATAAAATAATAGATGTGATCAAATAACATTTGAAATAGCTTTCTTCAATATGTAATACAAAGGATAGATTATTTATATATTCAGACCTAGCAATTCTAACCTATCTATTTGAAATATCTTCTTTTTTTTTGTATAGAGTGATATCAAGCGACTAGAAGCTATTTGGAAAAAAAAAGGTTGAAATTCTCTTCACGATGAGACATCTTGGTCCAAGACAACAGCCAAGAGGCAGATGATTTTGTTCTGGGTCTTTCTAAAAAAAGAAGGATCAATGCAGAAATAGGTGCAGCCTCGTTAGTGAGGCAGCAGGAGTTGTCATGTAAGATTAATTTAGCTTTAAGTAATAGGTATTAATAGCTATTATTTTATTTTTATTAATTTTTATTAATTTGTATATTTTATAGACTCTATAATGCGTTCTGAAGCTTATAAAAGCACAAGCATTAGGAATATTGTTAATAGTGATGAATTCCTCTCTCTTCCCATTGAGCTATTACCGAAACATTTTCGGAACTATTTGGCGAAATGTAAAAAACTAAATAAAAGTTCAAAAGAAGAAGACGTTCA